AGGAATATCACACAAACTGTCTGTTACTCAGCATTTCTTTGGTTCCCATGGGGACGAATTCCGTTTCTTTTTGTAATTGCATTTGATGAGACAATTTTTAGCTCTCTTTGATACAAAGATTGTTCTTGTTTCACCACTACTCTTGTTTTCTGTTTCCTGTGGGATCACAATGGCGCTTATATCCTAAACAGGGCATCTGTCGATGTTATCGGTGGAAGATCGAAAACCGCAATCAGTAGTTTCGATAGATATCCAACCTTCCGGATTGAAACGAACTCCTTAGTGGTCAAATTGTTTGTTGAACGCACAGGTTTTGCTGCAAGCGACCTGATGACTTAACCAATAGAGTCGCCAACCCGAACATGATCCAGGAAAATCTATCAGAACCCCGGCCGGGAAGGACTGTCAACTGTAAGAAAGACGATATACGTATATTCATGTCAGTATTTGTGTATCCTGTCTTCAAGGGTGCATCCGATTGTGTTAACTTCAACGTGCATATGCAATAGGATGCCACTTAGAATATCGCGAATCTAGCGCTCTCAAAGTGTATACGGAACTATGGGCATGTACGAAATTTTTCAAAAGTACCCCGACAAAAAGTATCCAATAAGGGATTCCACCTCTCTTTTTGTCAACCCGCATTGCCGCGATACGGTAGAATTTGAAGAGTGAAAATTCGGGAGACAACCTTGTCGACTTTGAGTGTGCAGACAGCGTTGTCATTTTTTGAGGAAAAAGGAAACAGAGAAGTGCAAACATCACTAGAAAGGTTGACCAGGGTCGTCCAAATTTTTGCAATGGTTCTCGCAACCATAAAGTGTATAGTGAGGCTTCACGGCGTAGTCTTTGAAAGTGTCTTTAAGAATTTAGTGAGATATACTGGAGGTTGTAGGGCACTATGCGCATCTCAGAAGTTTCATCAAAACCGACGCCTCGGAATCATAGCTGGAATCGGCTGGAACTAAAGGCTTTGCAACGATGTCAGGAAACTAGTGTTCAGCAAATCAACAGGCACCTCGCTTGAGGACTTCACCTCCTACTGGCAGTTAAGATGTTCCACCGACGCCGACATACCGTCAACCGAGAAGAACGTTGTTTTTCGTGCTTTATTAGGAACGGCAAAAAACCTGGATGTGGGCAAACTTGAAATTGACGCGAGGGAATGAGAGATCTTACGAAGGGATAATGTCGGCGCTATTCGGTCGCCAGGACGGGGACCCACGTGACCTCTGTGCTTGACTGAAGAAATCGTGTGATAGAGTAGCTAACCGATATTTGTGGAATTTATACTGTCAGCTCCCATCTGAATGAGTATTTGTGTTGGCAGCACGCTTGTAGTAGACCGGTGCTAGATCCTCTTGTATTATGGAATTTCATTTAAATAAATTGACATGGATGTGCGGCCAAAGTGATCTTATCCGGTGCTGCTGTTAGTGATGATGGTGTACACAGAGTTACTTTCCGTTAGATGCCTTGATATAAGGTTACACACACAGGCTAAACACACACCGACGACCACTGATTGGGGATGGGGTGTTTGCAAGATGGCCACATTCATATACGTCTCTTTTGAACAGTCCTGTCCTGGTGCTGTCCTCCTCATATCCACATCTGAATAGGTAAACGTGTTCGCGTTTGGGTGGTGTGATTGGCTTGCTCGACGTACCCAGTGCTTCTCCAAACCCCCGTTAGCGTGGACGCACCAGAATAATTGGGCCAGGAGATTAGGAGGACCGTTCAAACGAGTGATGTGAATGTGAATCGTATGAATCCCGCAACTACCTAAAACTCGCTGATTACAAGTCGACGATTCGGCCAACAACGGAGGTAACATTATTCTCCTTACCAATGAACTGCCTCTTAAATGCACAGCTCCAAATCAAATCGCGCATGGCTTGTCATATCGGGGTGGGAAGCCAGTTGAGGGCGCCTACATGTGCTTCGGCGTTATCGAATTGGTCATCCTAACTCCAGTTCTCTGGGTCATTCCGCTGGGTTCCCAAGTCTGGTGCTGAATAAAAATCACCGGATCAGACGATTCCCGGACATCCGGCACCCTGGTGATAAGGTGAGAGCCTCGGGTTCCTTCCTGACATAGGTCCATTCCTAAATTGGAATGGGCAAACTAGCGATATTTCACTTCTTGCGCTTCCTACGGATGGTATGGCAGTATGTGCTGGTGTGCTTCTGCTAAAATGGCGCGTATGACTTTCCAATGCTTTTTACCCGTTGAAACACTGTCATATCCACAATAGCGTGAAACTTCTGGCTCGTTGAGGGTCGAGACAATACCACTCGCCGGAACACTACACGTTGTCCGTCTAACCATTGGTATGCACATGTGGGTAGTTTAAATGGTTGTGAAGAGATGTGTTTTCCTTCCTTTAATTCTGTAATAAAGACCTATTTCGACCTTGTCATACCAGAAAACCTAAACTCTATCTGTACTAAATTGCTTCTGTCCACCGATTGGTCTAGCCCAGGTTATCGCGATTCTATCGTAGACACTTTATGTAAAACAGAAATAGTCAAAGTTGAGGTTGAAAGTCTAAGCTGACCATTTTCATGAGGACACACAAAGAAAGCAAAGCTCATTTCCAAGGACAATTATTTTCCGCACACTAATATCCCTAGATGAGTACTAATGTGCATCCCCAAAGGGCGCCTTTTTATAGAGGGATAACCGTGTGACGATTGCCTCCAGCCTCTTATCATTCGAACTTGTATAGTCATTAGGCTCCCTACACAGTTCACTCAAAAGTTATGAAGATACTTGTTTCGTAGATGATCCATCGATCCGGCTTTTAGCGCAAACAATAAAAAGTGACAGTTCATAAGTAAAACAGGTTTCTGCTAAAATCAAACTACTGTGTCCCCTGCAGTGCGACTGCCCATAGCGCTAGAGCTGCTAACTTTGGCAGGCGTCCTCAAGTTCCCGTCATAGTTCGGTTCCAAAAACCGATCAGAATAAATCTGTTCTCACACCGTTATTGTCCTTCTGTGTCCTTTTCAAACAAGCAGTCGACGTAAATGTCACACCAAGTCCCAGCCCTCCACCCATCTAGACCGTCCGTTTCCAACCGGTGTGTCCAGTGTAAGTAGTGGTTTTCCGTTGTTTGTTCAGTAATTAACTGTCTACCATTTGCAGGGTCACCCAGGGTATCGTGAGTATTCGGTGTTTGACGGAGGTCTGTGTCTCACTGTCTTTTCAGTTTTCTTTCAGTTGAGCGGTAACATCAACCACGAGAAACTCATCTATCCATTATCATTTTTGTGTGTGTGAAATTCATCAGTTCTTTGCTGTTCAATGCTAGGAGGAACGTTGCTCATGAATTTTTAGAAAGGTGCTTTTGCTGCACTGTGAGCAGCCAGGATAAGTAAAATAAATTGGACTGAACCAGGGAAATGTAGAAGCCTGTTAAAAGACACTTTGCTTTTATGGCAAACCGCTGTATCAGGCAACGGCACAAAAGGAAGGAGGCTATAAACATAGGCAATGAGAAAAGAACATACTACCCACCCAGCTGTGTCCATTGGTGGGCGGAAATTATCCGTGAACCAGTGATGTCACGCCACCGTTCTCCAATCAGGCCTTCTCTATTCCTAAACACACCTATGTCTTCATTAGAATCCAACGATAACTAGTGTTGATTCCCTGCTCTTTGAGGGTCTGTTGCAGCCCTGTCATGCCAACGCCTGCTTGTAGTCTGTGGATCTTGAAGCGCACAAAATTCTGACGATGCTGAAATCGGTCTACCTTAAGCCGGTATTGACTTCTCCTTTTGTTACTCAACTGTACAACTCCGTGTACAATCAGTTTAGCGAGACAGCCTACTGAAACAGTGACAGACAAGATGCAGTTACCTGCCTTATTCAATATGTACCCCGTATCGCTTGACCCTTCAAAAAATGATGCAGAGTGAGTTCAGGGAACCCCGCTGGTCCTACAGATGAGCCAATCCTGTGGGTCCTAAGTGCTCGGACATAGCTTCCCAAAAATATCGTTCCCCTAGGTTGTTTAGCGTGATGACTCCCTTGGCTACCTCCAAGTGGAAGCCCTGGCAGCTGGTATTTTCAGCTACTGAGGAATTTCACCAGTCGATCATTCCATTCCGAAATATACACGGGTCGTCATAAATAATCTGTTACTTTAGCTTGCATTTAGACAGCGTTAAAATTTCGTTTCAGAAGGGCTTGGTGAACAATCTGTAGCTTTTATTTGGACAAGCCCTTCTGAAATGGTGACCTCTCAATCGGTTCCAAACCCTTTCCAGCTTGAAAATTTCTTTCACTTAACAGTATGATTTAGCACAAGTCGTGTCACGTGGAGTTTGATTCGGAATCTGTACAATCAGGCATAATCAAAATGAAAACGACCTTGAAAAATGGCATCTAACCGTCAGGTTGATTCATCCGATACACCCGTTCGGGTTAGGTGTTCGGTAGTGCACCAAAAGCATATTTGATGTACATCTCTTGGCAAATGTTTTCGTCCAAGAAAGAATAGAAACTGGTATAAGCCACACTTACGACATCGATATTCTTACCAAACGGACAACTGAGACTACTTTTACGCGTCTTTAGCACCATAAGTCTGCACTGTTCATCACCCACAACTCTGACTTCTTTCAAAAGCAAAATGTCCCCGCAGCACACATATCAATAACTGTCATCCACCGTGACGTTTGTTGTCAGATGCCCAAATCTGACAACGCAGACGGCTTGCTTGTGGATCGTGGTTAAGGTATTCACATCTAGAAACTCCAAAAATAGCAGATTACTCTCGACGACCGTGTGTTGCCATTCAGTGATATCTCGAACAATCAATATTCCTGTCTTCACATACGAAGGAATTCATGCTTTCCCCGGTCACTGGGATGTGGATTAACAATGTGGCCAAAACGACTGAAGTGGAAAAATAGAAAAAACCGCTTTTATTCTTGCCCACAATACTCATGCAACAGTTGAACAGTCTCTTCGTTGTTGAGAGGTAAAGTTCAAACGTAGAGCAGAGTTGCTGAAAGTTTTTGATAATCTGGTGGGTTACCCAAATCAGTGTATCCCAACTTTGTCAGCAATGGTACTCTGGCGACGCGAATGAAATCCTGGGGCAACACAGATCCCGGATTGGCCCATTTCGCAAGAGATTCGTTGTGGATTTTCCTCATAAACTGTCGGGTGCTGGGTTCATAGCTAAATAGGATAGAAATTTTATAAGCAGTGTTTGAGCGATTCAATCTCGCGGGTCTAATGAACATACCTGCCATTTACGGGTTTACGACAACTCATTCTAACCGACGTTGGAAATCACCAGGCATTCCGTTATCCCGTGACAATAATAGATCTTATGTGTCAACATTTGGACCATTTTCCCACCCAGTATTTTTGGATTCATTGTAAGCACTGAGTCGTTGATTGTGTCACACTTGTCAAGTCATCTGAATATCCTGCCTGAGTGGAATATGTATTCACTTCTACCTTTTGAAACATGTCACGGTCAATTTGGTTACTTCGCGTCCAAGCGGTGTAGCAACAGACGGAAGCTTCACTCTTATCGCAGCTCACTATCCATGTGTTACCAAGACCTTTTGGGGATTAAACTCCGGACTTTTAACACACGAGTCGAGTATGCTGTCACTAGTCCACCGATGCGTGCTGAACGGACTGAATTTATCCTATTAGACGAACGTTCAAGTTCAGCGATGTGACTCTTTCAGAGCTCCAGAGGCGACCGTACAGCTTTGGTGGTCAGGTCGGCATTCTGTCCCCCAGAGTTTCCCCGTTAGTAAAGGTCGTGGGTGCCTAAAACCCACCGAATAAGTTTTACTTCACTGTGTGTTGTTGGAAGACTCATCTGATTGGCTTCAAGCGCATCTAAAAATTCACGCGAGAGTTCCATCGATCGTTACTGAGCCGTCGCTTGGGGCGTTTTGCGAACTTCAATATGGTCGCGTTCATCTGCTCTGGTGCGAAACGCTCACCTCATACGTCAGATGTCCGGAGTTTGCATCCCGTCAGGGTCGGGGATACGCACTGTTACGAAACTGAGGTCGGTCTTGAGAGAGCCGTACACTACGCGTTTCATCCTGAATATGAGTCATTAGAGGCATAGCAGATTGGGATTGCCTGCTGTGTTCAGTTTACACTGCTGACCTCAACAGGTCTGTTATAATCTAACTGGTTTCTTCGTTTAGTACGTGTGTCGAAGCAGGTTCTCTCGTTTAGGACCTTGAGTACCCTGAAGTTAGGAACTGTCCTGACCATTCACTGGTAGTTAGATTCATAAAAAATTGGAGCACACTGGCTGAACTATGTAAACACTGCCTGTTATTGTACATTCAAGAGATTTAATCAGTGCAAAACTCTAGTCTGCGTTGCTCTACTGTGCCATGGCTTGGTAGGTCGTCTCCGGTAAGGCTGCAAAGAAGGCTTCCAAGATGAAGGTTCCGAAGGCTGACAAGAAGAAGAAACAGAGGAAGGAGAACTATGAGGTATACATCTACGGGGTACTGCGTCCGGTCTACGTTGTCTCTCCTTCAACGTCTCTGAAAACGATGAATGGCTGCAGCAAAGGTGGTAAGACTGAGGTCAAGGCGAAGACCAGGTCCTCGAGTGCCGGTCTCCAATCCCCTGTTGGCCGTATGCATCGTCTGCTGCGCAAGGGCAACTGTGCCGGGCATGTTGGTGCTTCTCCGTCTTCCAACTACTGTAACTATCCACAATTGTGGAATAGCTAAAACGCGAAATCATGCCAGCAAACTTCCAGCCGTGGGTCACCACGCATCTCAATGCACGTTGACTCACTTACATACCACGGGAGTCAATCGTTCGAAATGATCAGGACAGTTACTGATTAGTCGGACAAACCAATCACAAAGCTCAAGCGTGAACACATCCACCCTCCAGGTGTCTAGAGTTTCGTGGCTAATGATATGCATTGCTGATGACTCCAATTCCAGTCTAGTGCTTCCCTCCTCTTAGTGTGGGCTCACTAAAATAATCACACCAAAATAGGAGGAAGGCTGTATGTATGTACGTGAACTTCGTTAATTCAGTGCTTGACTGATGCAGTGACGTGTCCGGATGCCAGGCACTCTGAAAACCGGTCACTGTGGCCCACGCACCACACGAAGGCATACCTTGGTTGGTCTGAATGCCAACCAATCAGGACCAAGCATTTGTGACTCGACGCTTCCCGCCACGTCAGCCTGTGGAACATTCACTGATAACCCTGTAAATACGGATGTAATAACCTTCCTTTGTCACGAGAAAGGACTGTCTCAAGCTACGCATCTTCCGATATAACATGGTGGGTGGAACAGCAAGCGACCGTTTGCACTACACAACAACTAGTGACAATCCAAACTCATGGTATCAGTTTCGGCAGAGCGACTACAAGTAAATTTACTGCAGCGACAAAAGCGTTTCGAGGAGGCTGATGCACATTATGTCAATGCACGCGACAAAAACAATCGAACCACCGTCTTCTTCGAGAGATGCTGTTGTCCGTGAGATTAATAAATTTGATTTCGACCCTGAATCTGGACAAGTTTCTGCAATTCCGCTCAAGCAACCTGAGGATATGTTTGGAACCAACTTTGCCCAGTTTAATGTTGCACGGAAAGTTCGACTGTTGCTGCGGAAACTGAGTATAGTTGGAAGTGTTGTGTTTGCAAATTTCATGCTCCTCAAACCTTCTCGTGATCTTGACTTCGCAGATTCAATCAAGATTCTGAACCAGATATTCGGTAAGTAGAGTTCCTTGTTCAGAATCCATTATCAGTTTCTCAAGGGTAGCAAAAGGGAGACTGGAGATTTTATCATGTATGCCGGTGTGGCCAACAAAGGGTGCGATCACTCCAAGCTCAGCACTATGACTGAGGATTAATTCAAATGTCCCATCTTCGTGGCCGATATACGATCGATGTATATATTTGGACCCGGCTACGGAAACGAACTAAACGGGTCTGTAGTTGGCACTTCAGAAACTCACCACCAAACGCTAGTATCTTATCAATCTCAAGGCTGATGCTGCAGTGATTGGAGTTCCCACTTCTAGTATTCAAAGCAACTTCCAATAGGAAATCGATTTCAAAATGGACCCCAAGAAAACAGTCCACACCTTGTCGGTTTTGTGACGAACGCCACTTTTCAATCTCAAGGGCTGTAGTGATTGGAGTTCCCACTTCTAGTATTCAAAGCAACTTCCAATAGGAAATCGATTTCAAAATGGACCCCAAGAAAACAGTCCACACCTTGTCGGTTTTGTGACGAACGACACTATTCACGCTACTGTCCCTTCCGGAACCACAGGTGCAGCGAGTGACCAGAAAGTAGAATGCTAGGGGGGCTCGCACAGACACCGGACTGACAAAAGGATGGACTCAGGTGCCGTAATCACTACATCCAAGACGTAACAAACCGGTGGACGAAACTTGGTCAGAGTGCGCTCTTGAGGATAATGTTGGTATCTCAAGTAGATGGTCGCTGGTTTCTACGTTGAGCTGAGTGAATGTATCATCACCAATCGAGGTGCGGTGTGAGTGAGCGTGGTAGGACGTAGCGATGGGTCGTTGGTTGTGCGCTGAGTGTTGATATACGTGCTGCTAACCGGGGCTGACGTACGGCTGTTTGGCTTTCATCGTGGCAGTTCGGGAGCGAGAAACTATTTGACATCACGTTTAGCGCAAATAACCCTGTCGCCGAAGAGGACTCGAAAGATTGTCTCGCGTACAGCAATCAGAGTGATTGTGATCACCTTACTATATGATCAAACACAGAAAGCAACAAATAAATCGAGTTTTGGGGAATATTGAGGTATAAATTCAAAAGAGGATTTTTAAGTCCTCGTAGAAGTTGTATGACGTAGGGGCTCTTAGAGAGTACCCATACAAAATGCCTCGAAACCTACGATTTTCTTTGGTAAATGGTCTACTGGTCACAGACAAGCGATGTAAGGCAGAATGTTCTGACCATTAAGCAGTGCCCGTCGATGAAAGTCGATAACGGGGAGTAAACCATTCTCTCTCTGTGTAAAGTCTGTGGTTCACAGGCTTCTTGGGACCAGTCACAAAGACGGTTGGCAGCGATCAATAAAGCGTGGTAACGACCGGATGACTTAGCGTTGGATCGAGCCGGGAACTGAAACAAATCAGCTGGTGAACACGATCAGCGGAAATATGTCTTGCCACACTTTCGTGAACCAAGGGTAGCAAAAGTGACCCTAATGAACCAACGGTCGTGCTTCAAAAGTGATTAAATCAGAAGTCGTTCGCTAAACCTTAGTAGTCAAATTCTGTGGACAGCACCTTGTCGCCTATAGATGTGTAGCTACCCTTTCGCCACATACATGACTATACAGGTCACCGCCACTCGCTGGATCACGAGATCTATCTTTTTTCCTTGCTCTCACAAATCACGCCACATAACCGTGACTTACTTGACTACACAGCTCACAGTCGAGCCCTAGATCCCAAGACCTCGTTTTTTTCCCTACGCGTACAAACCACGATACACAAGGGTGACTCATCCGATATCGACTGTCTACCGTCTTATACGGCAGCAACAAGTCATGTGCTGATACCCAAACACGCAAACGTTCCTACAAATAGGATAACAGCACAGCAACACGACACAACTCAACGGAGCTTCGCACGTCACCCAGCTCGGAGCAGAGCCACTTAGGACTTACGGTGTTTCACTCACGGATACTCAGGAATACGTATGGCTACTACAACAGCGCAGAAAACACGAAACCTGCATCCGGACTCACAACAGGATTTATCAACCTGAATCTGCAATACGATAAGTCCCCTTCTTCGCATATACACCTATTGTAATAAGTTTTACTCAACAACCTGATATTTTAGTGCTCCCAGTTTTCTTGTTCGTATAACTAATTTTCGGGTTCTTTTAGAGCATCAACAGATGCATGGTCTCACGGACAGCCTTTATCAGAAAATCCGAGGATGGCAAAGGGATTGACTGGGAAGCGCATCCGTCGATGGTTCTGTTAGCACAGTGCTCCGGTATGGGTCAGTAAAAGAAATTCATCTTTTATGTTAATGTGTGACCAACGACCGCTTATTCCTTTGGCTCGTAACTACCTAAAAGGAACTGTAGGAGCAGACGAGGAACGCACACAAAACATATAAACTTTGTTGGAATAGACTATAAGGAAGACACAAATGTTCGGTCTTTTGCCACGTGATCTGAATTCAAGCGGAACGGTCATTTGAATCCCGAAATCTTGAACTGGGATCAGAGATCTTGGATATTTGATAGTAGGAGGCTTTCGCTCTTTAGTCATCATCGAGGAAAGGTTCACACAACACAAGATAGTCCGGAAGCAGCTGAAGCACATGAGAAGTAGCTCCAGAAGCTGTATGATTTTCCCAAGAAAGCGCCAAATCAAGGGTGACCACACCCGAGGCGGAGTCCAACTTTAACAGACGAGGAATATGTACTTAGTTGTTGTTGGTTGAAGAGTTTGTGTAAAATTCACGTTCATATTACTCTCGTTTGAATAGTTGTACTCCTGTACTGGCATAATTATGCTGGTGATTACACACCAAAGGGAAAAGCACTGGACTCAAGCTCCTTTGTAATGGAGATCATCGGCAGTCCATATCCTTGGCCGTGCGGACAGTACTCAAGCATGAGCATGTTTGACCTTTCAGACGTGAAAATCCAAATTTGTCCATCATGTGCTGGTAACACGCTCATTCCGAACTTCACGTGTATGGTGCTGAAACCCCGACACGATCAGTGATGTGCATTGCTGATGCGCTCCAGCAAGAAGGCTTCCCTCCTTTAGCGTGGACTCAGCAGGACAATTACACCAAGACATCAGAAGGATTGTACAAAAGAGAGTGATGTGAACGTGAAATATTCAATTATTGCTACGAATGATGCACAGTGTGAATAATGGCTGCTTTCTTCATTTGAAATTTTCCATCAGGAGTCAACCGGTTGGTTTGGAAAATATTAATTTGTATGTTTGTTTTGTGAGAAACAAGAATTCCGATACCACTTGGAAAGAGTTCAAGAATACATCTGAATAGATCGAACTTCGGAAGTTAATGCAGGTAGGTCTTTCGTTTGCATATCTCTCTTATGGTTGGTGTAATTACAGTCGACCCCGTATCCAACCCAATTCTGTCGATGCATTAGCATTTCTATAAAATCACGCATATATACAATCACTTATTTGTCTGTGAACTAAGCTATCGTTGATGTGAAACGCGTTTGAATCAGAGTACTTGGGAAGATTATCCATTCAGTTCTGTTTTCACCCAGAGTTTTCACTCAGAATAATGCTGTTCTACGGTATGGGGGCACAAAGAGGTTGTCGTTTCATGTGACAAAAATGCTACTGTTACTGAAGATGATGTACTGGTGTAATGGTGATACTACTGATGAGGAGTAGTATGTTTTCTTCTTGTAACTTCGCTTCATGTCTCTTGAAAAGGGAGATCTGTTGCGGAATTTGTGGAGTCGCTTTGTAGCGCTTGCTTGGATTTGAGCAACAGTCAATGGAAACCCTGAAAAGTTCAGGACGGCGCGTTCAAGAGAAGATGGGTGTTCAGTTTTTGTAAATAAGATGAAAATGAGAGTTTTGCTTCCCAGTCCAATAGTCTGTAACTGGTCAGTTGGCATTTTCTAATAAATAACTCCGCGGCGGAGACCTTCTTCCTTTCACTGGTAGTTACTGGTCAAGTAAGTCAGTGAAAAAGCCCATCATATGATCAAGTCGGTGACCAAATAACTAAAAGTTCTCAACTGACGCTATTCTTTTGAAAATGGAAAAATTAGCGCCATACTCAGATGCAAGCCAGTTTGCTGAAATAGTTTGTTTGTGTCATGTATATCAATATACTACTTGGTCATTGATTAGCATCAATCAATAAAGCCAGAAAGCAACTTACGGATTAAGGTTTGTGAGGTTACCCAGAATGGTCTCGTGTTTCAAGATTATTGGGTCCCAGGAGATGCCAAGGAAGTCTAGGAGATTGGAATGATAGGAAAGATTCATTCAGCATTTGGAAAATCAAGTTTGACGGATTCTCCCATGGTCGTAAACGTTGAGAATCTAACTCAGTCTCGAAAGTGCCACGTTTAGTGACTTCAGGAATATTCGTGGAGTTTTCCTCCTACTATGCTTGATATCTAATCTTTCGAGCAGCAGCAAAAATTCAAGGAGTTTAAGTGGTCATTGTTTGTTCTATCATGTGAATTGAAATTCTTGAGAGTCAAGGTACTAGTGACCGATCAGGAACGTCACCGATCACCCCATCCTGATTGGGCTGGGAGAAGACTTTGCAGGACTGATCAGCACGGAAACAGTTGACAGATTGTGATCGAAGGTCATGGTAGTCAGCTTGCTACTGTCCAGTTCCACATAACCTCATGAAAACCTTCCAGGTTGCAGGAAAACAATAAGTCCCGAGATTCTTGCTATTGAGCCAGATTTTTCGGATTTCTGGTGATGAATAACTAAATAAGTTGAGTAACATTCAGAAGTCTTTTTCGAGCACACCTGGCACAATAGTGCCCTTACTTCTAATAATAATCAGGATGGACAACCTGCAGTAGTTGAATCGCACGTGTGCCGTATCCAAGTGGCATGTTAATTTGCTTCTGTTAACCTCGACGTCACGTGGTTGCCCATCTCAAATATTTTTCACCCGTATCGTCGGATCAATAAAGTTCGAACAATTACGTGGCTGCACACAGATGAAACAATAAACCTCGGTTGCCGTGCTACAGGTACTGACGAAAAGAACTGTCATACTGAAAACATTGAATCTACCTTGACCCCTTATTGCTTACTTCGCCGGTGTACTTTTGCTTTTCTGTACCCGTCACACCTTTCGGCAAAGGCCGTCCCGTCAGGCACTTGTGTATTGAGATGTGTGAATGTGTGGATGGGCTCAGCTGACCTATTTACCCATGCGTGTTCGTGTACCTGCCTTGACTTGTTTTCTCATGAGTTTCGTGCGATCGTACAGAACAGGGGACTGTAGTTTAAAAGGACGGCCGCAACCCACATTGCTGAGCCGTTTTTTGGTGTGCGGACGTTGGCACTGCACTGTTCCGGTAGGCGACAGACTTGTACAGTTGACGTTACGAACTTGGATAATCGAGGTTTGTTGTATTTACCCTACCTACCCTTGTGTGGATAACGCCGTAGAATTTCGAACCCGATTCTCCCTTTTTATATTCGGGATTGCCGAACCTACACATCGCCTAAAGTTCCGTATTGGGAACCCCAACAAACACTGCATCATCACATGAAATAGTAAACGCTAATGCGACTACTCATAAGTATACGATGAAAAGCGGTTACTACTTATGGATTCACGGTTGACAAACCACTATGGACATGCAGCTAGGCGCGAAAAAAACAGTGACTTGCTTATTTTGTTTACTGTTCGTTGTTGTTGGCGTTTATGATCGTTCCTGGTTGTTTATAGAGATTCAGCATCACCCACCTCAGCGTCATACAGTTGTAATGTATCTTTCTTTGCAGTTCTCTCGAAACGAAAGAAGAAACCTCCATATCACCACTCTGGGACTGTTTCACATGCTTCAATGTTTGGCTACGTGGATGCGAATTTCACTGGTAACCATTCAATCGGAGATCTATGAAAATAACAACCACAGTAGAACCAGCCACAACGCCTTCTGGATCACCAGAAATGCGCAACAAGGAGCGAGCGGGAATAGATGGGGTGGTCAGTTCGACAAATGCACTAGGTTCTTGAATCCTGATTTCAGACAGACAGTACACATCAATAGAAGGCTAGTCCAGCATACATACAACAGTCTGTTATCCAAATGAGTGTACTGTTGTCGAAATCAGTCCAATTTGGGCTGAACTGGAGCATATGGTTAACGGAAACTCGGGGACTGAGCCTACCTGATAAGCCCCGAGAAGGGCGAAACCGGTCGTAGGCTGTCGACGGATTTTCAGCAACGTTATGAGTAGTGCTTTGCAAATATATAAGTCTGTTATCCAGTTTGTTTCTGAGTACCCAAGTTAAAGGTTTCCAGTTAAGCTGAGTGTTAGATGTGAAGAATGTGGCCATGACGACCGAGTCAACTGTAAATATTGCATCTACCTGCAGTGGGCGGCGGCGTCAGACTCTAAGTGGAAATGTGGCTAGAAACCGGGTGAGGAGGGGAAGGAGAGCGACTATGTGAGAGAGCATGAATGAATGCATAAGCAGTAGACGGTTTTCAATTCTCCATCCCAATGTTGCAGCACGTAACGCGATCCGGTACCACGCGACGCCTGATACAGCACGAGATTGTTTTTTATGTGTAATTCATGGCTGTACGTGGGCTTGGATGCATCCATGGCGCTTACTGGATGGTAGAACGACTAGGGTCTTCAACCAATGCCTTTGTCTCAAAATCCTTAGCACAAGGCAGCAGTGGTTTGAATAAGGCCGCCAGAGCAACCTATATTTTAAGTGGTGATTCATCACAAACGTTCCAGTCCACTACCTGGCGGACCTGGATCGACACATTGACCAACCTAGTATGAGAGGCCCTGTGAGTGCCACACACACTCCCAAGTTTACCTTAATTGGTTATACATGAGTACAAACTGTCTATTTCCTCGAGGCAAATGAAATGGATTCTTTTGTAATGTACTACACATTAGGTTGCTGAAAATCCGTCGAGAGCCCACGACCGGTTTCGCCCTTTTTAGGGCTCATCAAGTAGGTGCAGTCTCCCCGGGTTTCCGTCTACCTTATGTTATACTGGATTCCTCTTATATACCCTAGATATTATGCAGTGCAGACGCTTCTTATCATTTTTAGGGCCATCAAGTAGGTGCAGTCTCCCCGGGTTTCCGTCTACCTTATGTTATACTGGATTCCTCTTATATACCCTAGATATTATGCAGTGCAGACGCTTCTTATCAGGGCTGTTTAAATTGAGGAGCACTTCGCACGCACGCTCAAATACGTGCTGCACAGCCTAAAGATGGTAGGTGGTTGATACTATCACTCACCAAATAGCTTTGTCGTCTCTTCCTTCGGATTCATAACGAGATTTTCGTATCTCATGGTGAAGCATTTTTGTGGGCCGAGATCCTGGCAGTCACGGATTATGGATGTTACAGTCTCTTCCCAAATGCGTAATCCTTCAAGTGGTCGATCCCTTTTGAATTGCGGATTGAAGCCACGCCTAATGAAAAGTGGTAGAAAGGAAATGGAGCTAACTAGTCCCGAATTCTATTATTTACTATTTTTGGGTATGAGAAAACTCAAATGATTGGATACTTCGACCTAAATCAAGTCTTTAAACGATGCCTTCTCTGCTTCCAGATATTTTCGATGAAGGCAAAGTCATATTTGTGCTTTCATCTGCAAACCAAATTATTGGGTCTCGAAAAATCGTCCTCCGAATTTCAATTATGAGACTAACTTTTGTATTCCCCTCTTATTTGTATTCCACGTTGTTTTTCTGCTAAACTGAGAAAGGAAATTAGGCAGACAAAACTCTAGCATATCACCAGATGTCAGGCGAAAATGGTAGGCTAGAATCCCGGTGAAAGTAGGTTAACCTCAAACGGTACAGTTCGACACGATGCACAAGGCTACCTTGATGAACAAACGGACACTAACTGAGGTAGTCACATGAAGTGATTTCACTGGGAGCTACCCTTTGGCCACTGAATAAAACTCAGGTTCTAATTTTCGGGGTCGCCATTTGATATGGCAAACCAATGGATGGATATGAGATACTGACTCAGCGTTCTATTGAAAATCTTTGCATCCCAAACGGTATTCATATCTTTGTTATTAGAAAAATCAGTCGTTTAAACTCACTGAAACCTTACAATATGGTTAAGCGTGACTACGTCTTCTTTTATGGGCGCAGTTCGTCAAGCCTAAATGACTGCTTGCTGGGACAACCATAAAAGGCGTGAACAAACATAAACTCTGGATAGCACGAATTAAAACACTGAAGCTGATGTGCAAACAAGGATCACATCAGAGGAACACATTCAATTGGTCAGAAGCCATTAGGATTTCAAAACCAACGGGTCTCGTTGAGTGAAACGGGTACCCAATTGAGCAACTTCAAGTCATGTTTGCGTCAAAGCATCAATCCTTATCATAACTTTTGGGTCGAGTGATAAATTAGTGTTCGTTGATATTAGACTGTCCGAGGTGATACGACCCGAGAGACATGCAGCAATAAGACGATGCCCTGCTACATTGATTGTCCGAAATCGAACCCCGGCCAACAACCAATCGTTAATTCAAGGAATTTCATCACAAGTCAGTGTGAATCACATAGCACTTATACTTACGCTTACGGCCCCGTGAGTGGTTTAAGTGATATCCATTCAACAGCTGAAAAGTGGTGTGCACCGTCTGATTCATTAGTCAAGCTTAACGGTTTTAGCTTTCAGCCTGCATATTAGAATTCACTCAACTATCCCAGTGGGATTTTATACAAGCTTTTGCTCTCTTATGTTTTTTCAGCAAACAATGGGATTCCAAAATCATCAGCATGAGTGGTATGCATCATTTGATACAAACATCTTTCCTTACTGAATTTGATGAAAGTTGCCCTTGCAAATTGTGTCAATTTACCACCCAACCAGTTCTCGACCACCGCGCGATCCAGAAACAACGCAAAATTTCCATTTCACCAACGTGGGCTATATACGTTTAGGTCTTTGGTCACTCTGGACACCATTTGACAGCCGTAGTGAACGTCGGAGATGAAACAGTCGGTTTTCCCTGTAAGGATAGATAGGCGTAGCCTTTGGACTCCACTCTGCGAGAAGTTGATCCGAAAACTAACCTTATTGTAATTTCATGCAATGATTCAGTCATAAATGGTATCCAGTAATTCGTGGTAACTTGTTGCTTTCACTTATTTTTGCGGTCAAATGATTCTCAAACAGTGTGTAAGAGGACAAGGCAACACGTGCGTACGTTTGCTTCTTCTGTGCTGCTCATTACCTTATCAAGTTTCAAGAGGCTCACTGACCCAGACTTTGCCAGAATTACCATGTTCCATAGGGGTACAAACCTGTTTTTCTCTGTGACTGTCGTTTATCTAGCCAGCATCACTATATATTCATACCTTTGAAAGGGGAACCTAGCCTGAAATCAGTGGAGTCACTAGCTAAAACCGAATTGGCATAAACTTGAGTGTACTTCGCGATTTCTTACAACTTGGGTTAAAGTAGATCACAAGGTTTACGGAACTTCGGGGACTGCTCCTACATATCGACCTCCATTCGACTGTAACACCCTTTCAGAGCCTAACTGCTAGGCCACTAGAAGGAAGCACTAGGGCTGGGATACTGCCAGTTGCCCGAACCTAGACAAGGGAAGTGGAGATGAAGAGGTCGGCCTCGAAGTACGGACTTTCTGGTGAATAACCAGTGAGCTATCTAGACACAACGAGGTCCAAAGATGGCAGAAAGGGTTGTAGGCTTTCGAAGAGTGTTGAGCAACTTTGTGTTTTTCTCAGGTAGTTAAGTAGTAGTCGATTAGTTACTCGTTTTTTATTCATTACATGCAAGTCAATACCAGGTACATCCGTCTTCAGGATTCGGGTGAAAATAACATGCCCCATTTATGTTTACGGTAAGTGCACTTGATGATGATAACAATAAGAAAACGTGAAAGGTTGAAGGAAAAATTGAAGGCTGTACGTGACTTGCTGTGATTGAGTTCATCTGATAGGACTTGAGTTGTTCCAGTTATATTGGGAAAACTTGTCGCGCACTCCACGTTTTCTGCATGTCTAATGTTTTATGTGTGACGTAGATGCAACTCAGCGTTCTCACATAGCAAAAGATAAAAATAGCGTGTCACGGAGGCAAGCTTTCAGGTAGCATTAAACTATTCCCAAATAGACCACGATTTTAAACGATGATGCGAATTTGTTTGGTGACAACTGACGCATCCTCTCCTCCTTGGAACTTTGGATTTCTTTCATTCAGTCCCTGAAGCGTTCCAATGGGTAAATAAACCACTCTTTGTAGAGTAACACAGTAAGTTAGGATCGTAATGCTTATGGTTTCACTTTCCATTAGTTTGTTGGCCATGATATTTCCTTTCGTTTGCACGCTGTCTTCTGAAAAACGGCCTCAAACATTCAACCGTAATAAAACAATGTTTATTGTTTATCTTGCAACGGAAAAGTCCACTTCTGGATGCTAGCAGAAGGTTGAATACGAAGTCTAATAAAATGGAACAATTTCTTGGTAAGAAATGGAAAATTGGTATTAAAATAAGAAGAAAGCGCTGCATCACCAAAGGATTTAGTTCCACACAACTACTAAAGAACCTTTCGCGTGTCATTTTAAGGTGAGGTGAAACTTTTAACCAGAAAATAACTTGATATTCCCGGGAAAGACGGTTGAACTAATTAAGTTGTGTGTGGGGTCGATGAATTGATGTATAGGAAGGAATGGCTGTTCAGAGCATCAGAGAATTTTCATCACGTATATCGTGAAAAATCTAACAGTTTGAAATGGAATTATTTTTACTCCAGATGTGATGAGATCAGTTCAGCTCAAATAATCCAGTGATCGGAGAGCAAGACTGTGATTTGACAAGAAACAGACCTGGTTTTCAAAGGGTTATTTGCAGCTTTCGAAGCAAGTTTCATGAAAATACAAAGTACATGAACTAATTGTGGTGAATAAGACTCACAAGCCAATAAGTTAGTAAAAATACATGTATAATGAATGGAAATCTTCCAGAGGAATATAGACATGATCTTTTTGATATCAGTAGTGGGTTTTGACTTACTGAAACAAACGCACAAACACTTTGTTTAGTGAATAATTTCAGTCATCGGGATTGTGAAACTTACTCAACTGACGAAGCTACCACAGCCCGTCCATCACGCACAATGTGGACAAACTTTGCAGAGGGAAACAAATATCCAAGGTATCCTAGATAGTTGAAGGTCATTGGTTGCTTGTGGCACAAATACGGTGCAGACGGCCCCATTTTCTCAATAATTTTGAGAATGAACGATGCGACTGCCTGATCGTAGGCCTCTGGGTAAACTCCAGCCTTGATTGCCCGCTTCCGTCGTAAACCTTGCATACTATGTCGCAGGTGTAATAATTCCAAAGTAACCATTGGTTCTGCCCCACACCGAATTAGTGGATGAGCATCCAGCATAACGCGGACCAAGCCTGTACCTAGAAGACGGACGAAAATTTTGAGGGCTAATCAGTCTTTTATTACTAATTAGACAAGGACTCAAATTCTGGATGGATAAGGCCAAATTGTTCTACGCTGGAAGAGGGCGCGTTGTGCATATGCGAAAACATTTATATAAATATTTGCATTTTCTACAGATGAAAATGTTGGTAGCTCAGGTAGCGTAAATGGTGGTTGGCTTGTTCGCTGAACTGGATAATTTGATTGTAAACGTTGCACCAACCCGTCGCTACGCACCACCACGCTCCCTAAACAACGCACTGATGATGTCACCTCAATCGGCGATGAAACGTTTGAAATCAAACTGCCCAGCTCAGCAAAAAAGCCAACGGTCAAATATTTGCATTTACCTAGTGAGCACCGGTTTGAGCAGCCAGTCCGGGCGTTCAGTCTAAGAAGATCGAAAATGCGAATAAATGGACACTCACAAGTTCGAAGGAAGGCCAGCCGGAAAATCAACCAGCCTTTTCGTTGCATTCACAAATGAACATATTCACTTTGAGCCTTTTCAGGCTTGGGACGCATTGTTACTCCTTCTGGTTCTCCTTTGGCTGTTTATCTGAATTTTCCAGTATATCTGGAGCACACTACAAGTATTCGAATTGTTGGTGGCACAGTTGAGTTCTACGATTGTCTACCGATTTGTTGGCCACCGATCAGCCCGGTGGGCTTGGCAATCGGATTGCAAAGGTTTCGTTACCTTTCGAGGGAATATCATCAGTGAGTACATGGTTTGTGACAGAATGTTCGCCATTCAACAACCAGCCTTACAGACCACATAAATCTCTCCATGAAGTTTGTCGCTGAGCTGAGTTACTGTCAATTGGTGTCGATGAATCTTCTTCCATCTAGGTAAGATGAGTCTATCGAGTAAAATAGATGAGCTTACGAGGCTAAAAAAACGAGCAAAGGTGGAACGTCCATCAAGACTTATTGAAGTAAACATCCAGCATCTAAAACTGTCCAGAGGTAGTAAGTCCTGGTGATGAGAGACGTAGCCCGGTGCTCGAGGTGCCTCAATTTCATTGCATCCGTTGGCCAAAAGAGATGCAGTCGGGAGCTCTGAAGTTTGAGTATACCTGTGGTTCTGCTTTCTCCGTCAACTACTCAAACGTTCGTTCTCTCTGGTGCGATCCACCCAAGCCCGAAGCAGGTTGTGGTGATGGCAAACTGCCCTATTTTATTAAAAAACCAGCTCCTTTTCACTTCTACTAGGCTATCTTGTAAATGTATTTAGGTTCGCAGACTAGATATGTCTGCCAAAGGTCCACCCTCGTAAATTCAACTTTGGACTTTTCGAAATGAGATTTTGAAAGATGGAGACCATAACAACTCCCGCTTTCTCCAAAAACTGTAGTGCTTTATGCTCGACGCTGTAGTGGTTATCAATCACTTCCTTGGATTGAAGCTCGATAGGCAAGTTTGGGCGGTCGGATTATTGTCTTTTTTTATCAGAAAATGTCATTCAGAGCCTTGATCTGGGCTGATCATTGAGGCGCCTGTGTTACACCCATACCGTTCATCGTACCATAAACGCAATTCACCATTGATGGCACCCACAGACAGCTGTAACTCCTAAAGGTCTATTGTGCCTAGTTTCTGGTTTTCTCAACTCCATAAAACCAGATACATTGCACCTCTCTCCAATTAGCTGTACGTCGATAAAACGTCCATGCTGTGTCTAAGCACTTTTCCCAGCTCAACAATGTTTACAGCGCTCCACAGAACTGGCATTAAGTGTGAAAAATTCTTGAGATGTTCTTTTAGTGTCTTCCGTATATCTTGTCATCGTCCATTGCAAGGTGTTGTCCATAACGTTATTACCTATAAGGGAGTCGATTAAAATCTATGATGTCTCAAATATTAGTGTCCTTCAATGTTTAAACACTTCAGTACCAATTCCGGAGGCTTGGGTGGCTTTCCTCTTGTAGTCTGAACTTGATAAATATATATGATTTGCAATGACGTGCACCTTTTTACCAACTCGTTCTTCCAAGCCTCTTCTTGGTCTTAAGAAGAAATATATTGTTTCATTTACTCGATCCAACCTTGGCAGTCCAGCAGGTACCGTTTTTAACCCAAAGCGGCATCTCCAACTTGTCTGCGTCCTCTGAAATCAGAATCGATAAATTCCATTCCCAATATGCAGTTTGAGTTCAAGCAAACTGTCAACGGTTACTATGCTCTGCAGCTCTTTTGTATATGCTCGTGGATCATACCTTCCCCTTCTTTTTTTCTAGACATTACTCCCATGCCAAATGCGCTCATATTCTAAACACAAGCAGTTCATCTCTTGCTGGTGCGCAAATCGAACTGTGTTGAAGACAGTCATCCACTTTTTTCACACCTTGTAAGTCCCTAAATGCTATTCTAAGAAACCCATTTGCGCATAAATTGTACACAGGTAAACACGAGTTTAACGGTTTTGCCCATATGCTGTGGTTAAACAAAGTCCATGCAGACACAGATTAATTAAGCTCAAGGATGATCAGCATTCTCTCTTCAAGAAAAGACAGGGCTGGACAGTGTAACCATACTTGAACACATAGTCTGAACATTACTCCACAAATCGTCAGACTCACCGGAACTCTCATGTCCTCCAACGAATATGACACGTGCAGGATCGATAGTATTTCCATGAAAGAACGTTTGAGCTTCCGAGTCTCGCTTTGAATAATATATGGTGTAGGGTACCAGCATACCAAGGCAAAATACAAACGCATTGACCAAATATCTGAAAATACCTTAAAAAAACAGAGGTGAAGGGAGTGAGGCATTCTGAAGAGCCACATGAAGTTGGCGTTATTCTCTGAGCTCAATTAAAATCAACTCCATAGGTGAGAGACTTACCCATCAGTCTTACTAAAGCGTCGAACATTTGAGGAAAAATGCGGTATTCAATGAGATACAAATTCGATTTCAAAAGACAATCGAAAAGAACGCGACCATTAGGCTAGTTGAGGAAGTCACACCAACAAAAAATTCAGATGGAGGAAAATCCTATTGATCCAACGGACTGAAAAGAACACATTGGTTGCCTAGATGTCAGTTAATCTGGACGTTCAGATATTTACTCAGGTTAAAGCAGCATGAACTTTCTGCCAAAAAACTCCTCAAAAGGTTTTATTTGGCCAGTATATCATACACACAGAAGCGGTTGGACTTGTGAAAGAAAAAGTTCACCCTAACCAGTGGTTTTTTGAGTTCAGCTAAACTTCAAAGAATCCATTGTTGTTCTTTCTAGAAAAAAAAAGCCCATGACAAAAGTATCTTCTGTTTGCCGAAAGCGAAGTTTGCTTTGAGCTTGACTGAGTCAAGTTAAAGGATTCACATTCAACCGCATTACTCCAGTCCTCGAGGGATCACCTTTGGTGACAATAAAGTACCTCCTACACGAAATGGCTTCCTCATGCTGGAGTAAACCAATGAAATAGTACTCCACTAGGGTAACGAGGTTTCCTATTTTTACTAGTGTTTTTCAACAACCCGCATCTTTCAAGACGGAAATTTACGATTCATCCGAATCAAAAGCTGAAAATAGACATTAGGTTGGCATTATCAATTTTACGAAACATGGTGAACCTGCATGGTGATCTCTGGCCCTCTTTGTTCAGACTATTAGGGAACAAGTGCTTTTCTATCCAGCTAAACAGTAGCGTGTCCTCGCAATAGTGATATGTAAATAAACTCGAAAAAATATCGTTTGCTTCTCCGTCTTATTCATCGGCTGTGTTCCCCCCACTCAGTAGTTAAACCATCTGTGTGCGTAACCGAAGCCAACTTGTCGACTGATTCAGGCTGAGTCAAGTGGGAAAGAGCTCATTATTGTGGTGTGTTAGTACATCAGCTAGCTTTTACCACAAATTCTCCGACAGGGAAACTGACATAAATCTCCAATAACGTTTTTTTATTATGCTGATATTGGAAAAGCCAGTCGGAAGTTTAGAAAACCAGAAAGCGGGTCATTTTGTTCCAGGTGGCGTGTTTCTCCAAGAGGAAGTGCGACAG